AAACACACTCCCCCCCACTTCTTCCATATGAAACTCGCCACGCGTACAGCCATGCCACCACGCGCCGAGGCAGCCCGGCGATAGTTACGCCAATCGCGCCGAACTTTCTGCACATGCATTCCTTTTCCCGCTAGTCTTGGGTACCACTGTGGCCCAGTCCCGCCCGGTCACAAACGGCGCGCGTGGCTCAAGACAAGGGGATAGGATATCAAGGAGAGCTTCCAAAAGAGCTGATTCCTGTTGGGGGGGGGGGTGCCGGCCCTCAGGGGGCGGGGGACAGGGCTCCAGCCCATCAGCGCTCTTTAAGAATTAAAGACCTGCTCCCCATCTGTGGCTTGGTCTCTGGGGGCTGTGGCGCCCCGCTCTCCTTCCTCCCACCCCTTCCCTCCTCCCTCCACCCCGCTGCAGGCCCAGCCTTCCCGTCGCAGGAACCACCACTTGGAGGGAGGGAAGGGTCAGGTTTTAATGTCCTGGTCCTTGGACCCTGGCCCGTCTGAAGCGGCCTCAGGCCTCAGGTCCTTGGTCCTTCCCCCGGGCCCGGCTGCTCACTCCGGCGGTGGTCGCCCCGCTTCGTCCGGGCCTTCCGCAGCGGCCGAGCCATCGTCCTCAGGCACCAGTTCCACGTCCAGCTCCAGCTGGCCCATGTACAGGCCGACAGCACAGGCCCAGAGCAGGCCCGCGGCCAGCACGGCACCCACGCCCGCAGCCGCGCCCCCCAGCGAGAGCTGCATAGGTCCCCGCAGCGATGCCAGGCCCACCATGTAGGAGGCGCCGCCCCACACCACGCACAGGCCACCCAGCAGGAAGAAGCCTGTGGGAGAGGGCGGAAGCCAGGATCAATGGAGGGGAGGCCTGGGGTCCCAGGGGGCGGGGGGGGCTTGGGAGGAAGGCTGTTGGGGAGGCAGATCCTGGAGACAGGGGCGTCAGGGGACTGAGGTGGACTCAGTGGGATGGGGCAAACTCAAGGGCAGAGCAGGGGTCAGGGGTCGTACAGAGCCACGGCGCTGGGCATGAGACAGTAGCAGAGGGGTGTCGAGGACTTGGAAGTGGGGTCCAGGATCAGAGGAAGGGTGGGGGGTCTGAGAGCAAAGACAGAGTTGGAGGGGCAGGGGCTGGGACTAGGACCCTCATCTTTGTTGAGAAGTCAGACTGGAGGGGCAGACCCACCACCATGCCCTGGACCACCCCCTCTGATGGGCAGTGGGTGCGTGGGAGGTGGACACAAGGGAGGGTGACATGGCTTCTGGTGGGGGAAGAATGAGGGGTTCTATACTTACTATTGGGGGGATGGGGCAGGAGGGAATCTACACTCACCGGTGTCGGGGGGGCACCCACACTCCCTGGTGGGAGCAAGAGTGGGGGTCTGCACTCACCATAGGCAGCTTCCCGACCCATGTCACTCTGCATGAAGGAGATGACCCCGATGCCGGATGCCAGGAGGCCATTTCGAAACCAGGAGAGGAAGGCTTGGCGGGACGGGGGAGATGGGAGAGAATCAGCACCAGCCCAAACCCTGCCCCCAAAGGGCCTCAGCCCAGACGGTCCAACTGAGGGGCTTGTCATCCCACCACCCCATCCTGCTCCACATTCCCACCATGTCTTGGCAGCCCCCCGCCCCGCAATAACCCTATTCCCCCAAACCTCTATTGTAGCGGTTCTCAACCTGTGGGTTGCGACCCCTTTGGCGGTCAAACGACCCTTTCACAGGGGTCGCCTAAGACCATCCTGCATATCAGATATTTACATGATGATTCATAACAGTAGCAACATTACAGTTATGAAGTAGCAACGAAAATAATTTTATGGTTGGGTCACCACATGAGGAACTGTATTTAAAGGGCCAGAAGGTTGAGAACCACTGCTCTATTGTCTCCATCTCTGAGCCCAGCTTCCCCAAACTCTGCAAGACCGAATATTCAAGACAGTCTGCAAAACCTGGAGGATCTGGAAGCGAAACTGCAGAACCTAAACCTGAGGACAGGAAGACCCCAAGATGTCATCTTGGTCAGCCAGCCCCCACCCATGGGCCGCCCTCTCACTTCTTTCTCAGACCTCCTGACACAAACTGCTCCGGGACCCAGGCCTGATGGGACCCAGGCCTGATGGCATTCGCGTCCCTGTGCAGTGCTTGCTAACAGGCTAGTTGGGTTACAAACTCCCCATCCCGACCTCAGCTTAGCCCAGTCCTCTCCCAGCGGCATGGGGCCCGCCCTTGCAGCCTGGATCACCTCGCCCTCCAATCAGCCATAGCTTTCTT